CCCGGCCTAGCGCCCCGCGTCCCGGCCCCCTGCAGCATCCTTGGCGACCCTGGGCCCCACTGACGCCGCCGACTCGGCCCCGGCTGGACTCCGGAGTGAGCCGGGCCCGTGGGCAATGACGGCAGGCCTGTGTGTGTGGTCAGGCGGCAGGGCGCGGTACCCAGGCCCCCCGGCCCCGGGCCCTTGTTCCTCCCGGGCAGAGCAGGTAAACCCGTTCCACCACCTTGCGGACTAGCGGCTTCCCGTGGTGTCCCTAAAAGGGGACATGATGCTTAGGAAAGAATAGAAGCCTTGAGCACCACTTTAATCAAGTCTTGTCTCTGTTTACAAATAGCCGCGAAAATAGACTGTTGTTGTTGTTGTTGTCTTTTTTTTTTTAATCGGAGCCAGTAGAACAGGAAATAAAAATAGGTTACAAGTAGAATGTAAAATGGTGCTGAGCTTCTTGGACAATGCCTGTTCCTCAAAGGTAAACCAGAGAGTGACCATCTGACCTGGCAGTTACCTGGCTAAACATGTACGAGAAATGAAAACATACACCCACACAGAACTCCTACACAGAGGTTGACAGTAGCATTATTCCTAGTAACCCGGAGGAGGTAAGCTCCAATGGAATATAGGATTTGAAAATGAAGTACAGAGATATGCTACAGTAAAAGAGAATGTTGAAGATAAGCCTGAGTCAAGCCACACAAGAGTATCTAAATACTATGTGATCCCACTGATAAGGCAAATACATGGAATGTAAAATAATAACTGTAGAGTAAATGAGAGAACTGGAAGTGACAGGTTGGGTTACCAGTTCCCTGAAGTGAAGTTCTCAAATTTGCTGTTACACACCTATTACTACACTAAAAGACAATTATACACTATAAACAGCACAGTACACCTTCATATGTGAAGTACATAAAATAACATGGGGTGCATTCTTTTTAGTCATTATATTCCCAAGCCATGTAATAATGCCTATCCCAGAATGTATGCTCTGTAAGTAGCTGGTGGATTTTCCAAATTTTCTAAAGGGGCTAAATTGCCTTTAAAGTATTTTTATGCCAAATACAGATTTTGTTTTGTTTTTTGATAGATTTTGTTTTGTTTTTCCGAGACAAGGTTTCTCTGTATAGCCTTGGCTGTCCTGGAACTCAAGTCTGTAGACCAGGCTGGCCTTGAACTCAGAGATCTACCTGCCTCTCCCTACTCAGTACTGAGATTAAAAGGTGTGTGCCACCACTGTCCAGCTCTGTTTCTACTTATAGAAATCTATAGATTATTTTTTAATCTGAAAATTAACCAGCATTTTGTACGTCTTAAAAGCACCATGGGGGCTGGAGAGATGGCTCAGAGGTTAAGAGCACCGACTGCTCTTCCAGAGGTCCTGAGTTCAATTCCCAGCAACCACATGGTGGCTTACAACCATCTGCAATGAGATCTGGCGCCCTCTTCTGTATACATAATAAATAAATAAATCTTAAAAAAAAAAAAAAAAAAAAAAAGCACCTTGTCAGGCTGGAGAAATGGCTCAGAGGTTAAGAGCACTGGCTGATCTTCCAGAGGTCCTGAGTTCAAGTCCCAGCAACCACATGGTTGCTCACAACCATCTAAAATGAGATCTATCCTGCAGGCAGAACATTGTGTACATAGTAAGTAAATAAAATAGGCAGAACATTGTGTACATAGTAAGTAAATAAATATATATAAACACCTTGTCAAAGGGCTTCATATGCTTAAGTTCTCTTTGGTTCTCTCCCCAGTCATTCGAAAGATGGCTGAGCAGCAGATAATGCATTTGCTACAAAGCCTGACAACCCCAGTTTGATTTCCATGACTCCCAGAAGTTATAATCTGACTTCCATATCATGTGCACACACGCACACCCATGTAAAAATAAAACACTGAGTGTTATGGAATAGTCATTTAAGATGTGTTACATTTGTTTATGCTGTGGAATATTTGTTTAATGATGCAAAGATGTTTTGCATTCTTTTATGTTGCATTTGTTTAACTCTGTGAAGCTATGTTACTTTGCCTGCCTAAAACACCTGACAAGTCTAATAAAGAGCTGAACGGCCACTAGCTAGGCAGGAGAGAGAAATAGGTGGGGCTTTGGACAGAAAGAATAAATAGGAGAAATCTAGAGAAGAGAGCGAGAAGTGAGAAAAGGAGAGGAGGACACCAGAGGCCAGCCACACAGCCACATAGCCATGAAGTAAGAAGAAAGATATAGAATAAAGAAAGGTAAAAAGCACCAGGCAGTGGTGGCGCACGCCTTTAATCCCAGCACTTGGGAGGCAGAGCCAGGTAGATCTCTGTGAGTTCGAGGCCAGCCTGGTATGAATATATATATATATATATATATATATATATATATATATATATATATATATATATATGGCAGGGCCCCCAAGGGGAAAAAAAAACAACAAAACAAAACTACAACTGAGCCTTAAAACTATTGTCCAAATATTGGAAAGCTTTATTCTGAAGAAATAAGGATGGTAAATTTCCAGGGAAGTATTCTACTTCACAAGGTCAGATGTGAGTCACCATGATTTTTAAACCATACTCATTTATGATTCACATCCAATCTAAGCCACAAAACAGTAATATTAGATACCAAACTTGTCCTTTCATATTGCCAGTAACAGAGCTGCCTTTTTTTAAAGATTTACTTATTTATTATATATACAGTATTCTATCTGTACACCAGAAGAAGGCACCAGATCTCATTAGGTGGTTGTGAGCCACTACATGGCTGCTAGGAATTGAACTCAGGACCTCTGGAAGAGCAGTCAGTGCTCTTAACCTCTGAGCCATCTCTCCAGCCCAGAGCTGCCTTTTTAATCTCAGAAGCATAGGCTTTCTGAAAATCCAACATGCATAACAGATGAAATTAATCCAACCCACACTGCATTTTATTTATTTTTTTAAAATTTATTTATTTATTTTTTAATGTGCATTGGTGTTTTGCCTGCATGTATGTCTCTGTGAGGATATGGGATCCCCTGGAACTGGAGTTATAGACAGGCTTGAGCTTCCATGTGGGTGCTGGGAATTGAACCTGGGTCCACTGGAAGAGCGGCCAGTGCTCTTAACTGCTGTGCCATCTCTCCAGCCCCGCCAAGCTGCATTTTAAAAGAATGCAAAAGACTTTGAATGGTCTTTGGGTTGTTTGTTTGTGTGGTTTTTTGTATTTACTAGAATAGTCATTGTTCTGTTCCTTTTCCCCTCAAAAAAGTGCTGTGCACCTCATCCTCTGTCAAGGACCTGTTTGAGACACTTGCCCTCACTCTGGCCCAGTCTGGCCTCCAGCTTGAGGCAATTCCACCTGAACCTCCCAAGTGTTAGAGGATTACAGACATGAACCACCGTACCCAACAAGCACCCATCTCTCTCTGCCTCCCTTTCTTCTCCTCCCTCCCTCTCCTCTCTCTGCACTACTGCAAGGTTTATTTATTTTGAATAGGGTCTGGATAGTTTTGAGTTCCTAAGCTTAAGCGATCAGCCTGCCTTAACCTCTCCTAAATAGCTAAGACTTTGAGCATGCCACAGTGTAAGTACCAGACTCATGATTTTTTTTTTCAAGGACTAAACAAACCCTCTAAAGTCTTTTTTTAGATTTATTTATTATAAGTATTTATGTGTGTGTGCCTGCATGAATTTATGTGTAACGTGTGCAGGTGCCCAACAAGTTTTAGATCCTCTGGAACTGCAATCACAGGTAGTTGTGAGCTGCCATGTGGGTGCTGAGAATCAAACCCGAGTCTTCTGGAAGAAAGAGTAGCCAGTGCTTTTAAACTGCTGAGCCACCTCTCCAGCACCCCCTTTAAAGTCTTAACCAGAAACCAGATTAAAGTAGCTCACACTTGTACTCCTGTAGATGAAGAACCAGTCACTAATGACATGAACAATATGCAG